ACATATATACATACATATACATAGATACATATATACATATATACATATACATATATATATATATCCTCATGTATAACCAATCTTTTGTAGTCAGATCAAAGGGTATTTCACGCAGGCACGCACACTACTACTACTTTCTAAATCCCACTGTTTACCTTTCGGACACAGTCCATGTAGTTGTTGCGATGAAGGGAGCCCTTAGCAAACTCATCAGACTGCATGGGGAAGTGTGAAGCCACCAGGGTGTCGAGCGCTACCTGCAGCTCAGCTAGTGGCTCTTCTGGGAGTGTTGTGAAGAAGGGCAACACCAGCAGAGCCTGGCTCTGAAAAATTGATTGAGTTCAGCATAAAGTTTCACCGACTAGAAAATAACTTAATACATAAAACTGTCCCGTAACTTAAATAAAATCTGTTACCACCTTGAGATTCAGCGGCAGATTCATGTCAACCAGCAGCACAGTGAAAGTGGAAAACACCTGTCTGAATGCTTCATGTTTTATATCGGAGCAGACAGAGGAGTCAATCTGTTCAGAGAGAGAAATTCAATAAAATGAACTAAAATGAAAAGAAACACCAATATATCTGCACTATTACTATTACAAAGGTCTTAACATATTTTCACAGTTTTAGTTTATGGCTTTTTAGCAGGGGGCAGACAGCAGTAATGTGATCCTCCTGATACCTGCAGAAGCTTGGAGAGCAGCAGGAGGATGGCAGTTTTGCTCTCTGGGGTGGAAGAATCTCCCTCCCACCATGACTGCAGGCTCATCCATCGTTTTAGCACCTCTTCAACCAGCTGCTTCCCCTGAGTCTTCCTCACCGATCGTTCTTTAAAGCTGTGGTCCAGCATGCCATTCAGCAACACGCTCACCTGAACACCAGAAAATAAAAATCAAGTTTGTAATGAGAAAACAAGAAGTTATCCGTCTTCAGATGCCCGTGGTTACAGTTTTATCGTAAACTAACTAAAAATGACAAGTACCATGCTGGGGTTTTGGGAAGAAGCTTTCATCAGGCGTGGCACTGTTGTGTTCAGACTTCTCAGCAGCTCAGTGTTGATGGTCGCCTGAAAAAGGCTGTAGAAGTACTCGCCATGCGAGAAGCTCAGGAAGTTGTGGCTGTGACTTCCAGACACGGGCACAGAAAGCATGATGGTGTTCAAGAGCAAATCTACCAACTGCTCGCTCTGCAAAGAAATAGCAATAATGCACAACGTTAGAAAGCACTGTTACCTCAAAAACTAGTTACCTTCACAGCAACACTGCTCAAAATGGGAATCTTATCAGTCCCAGTTTGCTTTTTAGTTCAGTGACTTGATGTTTCACTAACACCAGATTGAGCAGCAACACTGACCTGCTGACTGAGAGAAAACGCAAGCTGAAGCAGACCATCTGCAACTCTCCTGGTGTTTACGTCTAAGGATGGAAGTGCCTTCCTTTCTTCTCCTGGTGCTATGCCTTTATACACCGTCATTAGAAGCTGGGATCCAAGTTTTTTGCCATAAGATGAATCCTTAAGGAACACACAAAAAGACCTTACGGCAGTGCATTCAGTAGAGATGATACAGTACGTGTTATAAATAAATAATAAAATATCCAGGCAACCTTACTTTGGTTTAATGTTCATACCTGGCTGTGCAGGATGGAGCTGAGGAAGCCGGCTTTGTGAATTTGCTTACAGGAAGACAGAACCATTTCCATCTGGTCATGGTGGCTGAGAGTGCTGGAATGGTACAGGTCTACGTTGCACAAGCCCTCTACACTATAGTGTTCATTAAAGAAATTTAGGAGGAAAAAACCAAAACATTAGTGGTTTTGATAATTGCACCAGTGCTGCACAGTCAAATTAAAGCCCCTACGTATCTTTCTTTAACAAATAAGAGAACTCAACCTTTTACATGAGATTTTTGTCCTCAAGCTGCTTTCCAGACGACTGCAGTAAGGTGAGGCCAGCAGTGCTTTCAGTAGAGGAACACACACTTCTGGTAGGTTCTTCATTACCTCCACATCTGCCATGTTGAAGCCTACAGCGGACGGCTCGCAAACCACCATCGCAGTCAGCTCGAAAAAAACTGAGCATAAAAACTCTTGTTCCAGAGACTATGAATAAAAATAAGGACATGATAAGTAAAACTTTGAAATGGAAGAATCAGCACCAAGTTACTTATTGTCAGTTCTTGTAATTCAGCGATACCTTCCAAAGCTCCTTGTCTCCTTTGGCAAGAATCATTGTGGTGAACTCCAGCAGGCGAACAATGATGGTGCATTTGCTGTAGTTGTACTGCTCCACCTCTCTTGGGCTGAAGTGTGAGGTCTTCTCACCAAGTGGGAAACAGCTCTCTGCTGCTACCAGTTCATGAGTTGCCAGCTCCGTCAGAAAGAAATGCAGAGCTTTCAGAAACCTCGATTTGTCTTTTGAGCCTTGAACATCAAATAAGCAGAGATTAATTGGAATCACTGGAATCCACCAAACTGATGTAGAATTCATTTGATAATGTTACGCAGAGCAGTGAACTTGGAGAAACTTTGGCACAAATATAGACTTACTTAGAATGTACTGAGGCTTGATAATGTGTAGGCCGATGAAAGTGTTGTAGCAGTCCAGAACAGCCAGCAGGAGGTCCAGCCACTGCAGCGTGGCTCGGACACTGAAAGGGCTCGTCAGGTCCCTGAGTGTTGGTTGGGAGAGGAGACCTCCGCCCTCAAACTGTGACATCAGAAAGTCTGTGCCATGATCCTTCAGCATGCCATCCACCCACTGAGGTGGGGATTTCTTCCCTAAGTCACAAACATTCGGGAATTTACTGACATGTTTGGCAGAAGTTCATTTAGAGTAGCAGGGTAGTTATTATGCTAAACTGAAAATCTCAATTAATTTTTTTTAAGTGGGTTTTCTTTTTTTAAATTTGCATGTGCCCATTTTAAATTTTCAGGTCACCTTTGCAAAAATTAAACTGTTGGTTCTCACCTGGGAGGAGGGGGATAAACTCATACAGGAGCTCCATGCATTTATGGCGACACTCAGTCTGAGGGCGGCCACATTGCTCCAAGAGCCATGAAACCACATCTGAGAGGCACAGCTTCTCATCGGGCGGAAAGCCTCTGAAAAAAGAGCAAGAAAGAAAGAACAATATTTAAACTGCTTGAAATGTGCTAATTTTTATCCTTAATTATTCCATCGTTCTTCTTTGTTTTCATATGGAGACGAGTGGCAATGTTAGGTCACAGTGTGATATACTGCAAAATCGACATCATTGGACGTATAAATTGAATGCACATTTAATAAAAGCAAAGAAGTAGAAAGGATTTTCATTTTCACCATGGTACCAACCTTGGGATGCGTCTCTTTGCATTGTGGTGATTGAGACTGGGAGCCTTGTGTTTGATTATTCTTTTTAAATGGTCAATGGCACTGCCACACTGCTGTAATGTACCTGAGTATGAGGGAGTTGCAAGAAAAGCATCACAAATCCTAAAAGAAATACCCTTCAACATATTTGACCAAATATAAAAACACACTATACAAACTTTTTTGCACATTTTCTTGAAATATAATTCCTATAAATCAGTTTGTGCAAATTCAGGCATAAATAAATTAACAAATGTTACAAAGCAGAACACATTAAGGAGTGATTGTCTTACATAATCTGTCTTTAATGAGAGAGGGAGAGGTTGATAATGACATGAAAATCCGAGTGCACAGTCTACAATGCTGATGTGACAATTACCCATAGATCGTTCATCTGAGTGTGCAAGAGCCAGACTTTCGACAAATATGACGAGAACCTCGAAGACAAACTGTTCCACCAATGAATTTTCCTCCCTGGAGAGAGACACAGATGACTGCATTCAGCACAGCATAATATCCCTTATTCAAAGGACCCAGTTAACGGCCATGGTCACAATTTAGAGGGTAAAATGCAAGTAGACAGACAGAATTCCTTTCCACCTGAATTGTCTGTAGATGCTATTGAATGCTAAGGCAGCACCAAGTCTTTTGAAGCCATTGGGGTGGAGAGCCAAGCTGTAGATGCGCTTAAACAAAGACTTCATGTTGGTGGGACTCCTCTCCTGCTGCTTGGGGGTGGTTTGCTTGATAGACCATTTGACAAACTCTTCAATGCAGCGGCCACAGAAGTCTCTGAGAGTGCTGTCCATTGGGTCGACCACGCCATCCTGAAGAGAGCAAACCATGTGAGGCTTAAACTATTACAGAGAAACAGCTCCTGTGTGACCAATGATGGAAAGGGAATAACGGGAAAAGACTCAAAAACTGTGTTTAACCTCGAACTGTAGTATTCAAACGCTTACCAGGATGGCCTCAAGAACAGCAACTGTGTCCTGGCTCTCAAACTTCTTGTTATTTGTGAACCAGTGAATGAGCTGCATAACCAGTGGTTCAAACAGCTGTCTGGTTACCTAGCAAAGAAATCCAGAAAGAAAAAAGTCAGGGTCTAAACAAGGCAGTGAGCAAGTGTGCTTAATGTTTAGTTCTGTTTCTTCAATTCTTTTTATTTATTTCTATCACAGCAATTTATAAAGTAGCTTGGATGAGATGTTCTATGTTGCCTGTACAGATCATCCACCACATCATCTCCATATAGCTGTAAATATGTTGTTCAGCATGATTTATTTATTTAAATGGACAAATCTCAGTTGGTGGCACTCAGCAGGACAGAGCTGGTGTTTGCTACACCTGCCTGTTTAAAGGCGCATGCACTTCTCATTAAACACACACCAAAAATCTTTCTTTGCTCACATAAAGAATTTGTAATCTTTTAGAAATTCTCTGATTTCTTTAGAGGACTTATTAGCCAACATCTCAATTACCATTAAGACAGTTTGATGGGGAAAAAATATCATACCATAAATTTATATAGCACTTTAAAAAAACGACACATGGCCGACCAAAGTGCTGTAGAGCATAAATATAAAAAATACAATAAGAATAATAAATACAATAAATAAATAACAATAAAATAACAGCGTCAGTTACCCACTGAGTCAAAGGATAGGGAATAAAAATGAGTTTTTAATCTGGATTTAAAAACCAGCACTGATGTAGATTGCTTAACATGAAGAGGAAGATCATTGCAAAGCTTCAGGGCCACAATAGAGAACGCTCGGTCTCATCTAAGTTTCAGCCGTGATTTAGGGACTGCTCAGCTGACTGGAGTGAGCGAGGGGGGACATAGGGCTTCAGCAGATCAGACAATTATACAGGTGCCAGACCATTTAAGGATTTAAAAACCAGTAAAAGGATTTTAAAATAGATCGTAAATTCAATTGGAAGCCAGTGTAAGGAGGCCAGAACCGGAGTAATATGCTCAAATTTTCTTTTACCATTTAAAAACATGCCGCAGCATTCTGCACAAGTTGCAGTGCCCTGGCCAACCCCTATTAAGAGGCAGTTGCAGTAATCCAAGCGTGAGGTTATAAAAGCATGGATGACAGTTTCCAAGTCGCGTCTGGAAAGAAAAGACTTAACCTTTGACAGACGTCTGAGGTAATAGAATCAAGATTTCACCACCCCATTTATGTGGCCATCAAAACTAATAGCAGTGTCGATTGTTACCCCAAGACTAGTAACCAAGCTCTTCAGGTGAGGGGTACCAGAGGAAAAATTGCTTCTGTTTTAGGTTCATTAAAAATTTTAAAAATTTAGAGCCATCCATGACTTAACAATCGCTAAGACAATCAAGCAGGAGTCCAATCGAGGAGCTATCGAGTGATTGAAAGGTAGATAAAGCTGGCAATCGTCAGCATATAGATGAAATGAAATACCTGATCAACATCGCAAGCCAGACGTAGTAGGACAGGAAACAGTCGTTTGTGTAGCTTGTACATAGGTGGCAATGTATTCTCTCCTTCAGCCATCTGGGCACTCTTCCCAACCATGTAGACCACCATGCTGTGGAGCAGCTCACAAGCTGCTACCTACATCAAAGACAGGGAGTAATTCTGAGCAAAGTGGATGTTGATAAGTGTGACTCACAGAATTTTCTTTTTTTAAACTCCAAGTGATGGTAAATGGACTGGTAACATAGTGCTCTTCTACTCTGAGCCCTCAAAGCATTTTATACAACTAATTCATTCACCCAATCACACCCATTCACACAAGCACATTTTCTAAGTTGTTAAGTGCTTACTATCTAACATTCATACACATTCCCACTCCGATGGATGTATCGGAGAGCAACATGGGTGTAGTATCTTGCCATGTTCAAAAACGGCTGTTAGAGGACTTACTTTAGTTTGTCTGTCACTTGTGGAAAGAGCCAGCTCACTGATCCGAGGCAAAAATGGGTCGAGGAAGATGACCGGCTTCATGTCCTTGAATGGCACTGCAAAGCTGAGTCTTTTCTCAGTATCCCAAGACACAAATTTCTTCATCATTTCTTCTGAGGAGACCACTAAATGCCAGAGCAGAGGCTTATGGTAACAGAAATACATCACAATAACAAATCGATGTAAAATAGAGTAGAATATTTTTTTTTTTAAAAACTTTAGAAAGGGTTGGTTTTAGAGATCCTTACCAGTTACAAGGTTTCTATTTAACTTTCCTCCCAAGTGACCGAGTAGCTTCACTACCCTCAGCCTCACCTTGACAAGAGGAGCATCTTCCTACAAACAAAAGTTAATATTAAGTTTTTGGACTCGTTGCTAAATAAAAAGTAGTTCAATGTTATTGATCGTGACTGTCGTGTTTTGCATTTGTACAAAAAATGGAAACACACAATAACACTGAATTGTGCATTAATCTGGCTGTGTAGTGACTACAACTGATATGGTGGTTGACACATAAATAAAAACAGAAACGTCTTAATTAGGAGTTTTTGTTATAACAATGAGACTTCTCCTTTATTATGAGTATTGCATGAGCAAGTTGCTTCTAATCAATTACCATAGAAAGCTGGTCGGATTTCTTCAGAAGCCTGCTCATCACCCTGCTGTATCCTCTGTCACTTTTTGAAGACAAAGACGATATCACCTCCCAGTTGCTCTCATCTTTGTCTAAAGTAAACAACAACAGATTTACACTTTTTGTTTATGATATGTCCAACTGACCAGCTGTGATTGAGCTCAGCTATCATCCTTCTTACTGTCAGTGGAGGAGGTTTTCAGGTATCCGTCCAGAAGAGGAAGGACACTGGTGTAGCAGGGCTGCATCGTCTTCAGAGGAATGTGTGAGGACCAGTCCTCAAGAGCATCTAAGGCTGCGTTGGCCAAAGGAATGTGGCTCAGGCCTAATTTCAGAGCAGTCTAGACCCATTTACAAGTACACACAGACACATATAAGTCTTCAGAATCAGGTAGCACAAATGGTAAAAATTACAATTAATGAAAAGAAAAATTAAACCAGAGCTTTCCCACTTTGGTTGTTTATCCTCTTAGCCCTATCAGGGAAATATAGAAAACTTACTCACACCATTAAACAAGGTGCAAAGGCAAACTGGCTTTTATTAATTCATTTATTTTCATTTTCTTAATAAAAAAGTGGCTCTAAAAGCAGTTTAGAGCCAAAAAAAAGCCAAGCTATTCAATAATTTAGCCATTATTGTTAGCTAGCTAGGCTAACTGTTTAGCTTTTATTATTACATTTATTAATTCAGCATAAATTCAATTGTTGACACTAATAACTACTATTTAATAAACATATTCAAAATATTTATCTAAAATTTTCCGATATTTTATAGTAAATAACCATTTTTAGCAACCAATTTACCTGATACATTTTAGCTAACGTTTGCCTGACAGCTAGCTTGCTAAGTACTTTGCTTGTAGTTGCACATACTTGGGCACCTGCTGTTAAATGTCACTGGGTTGAGATTTATACTCAACTGGTTATTTGTTTGTTTTGTAATTAAGCTAGTTCTGAATATTCCTACAGCCTCTCAACTATCACTGCAGCTGAACATTAGTGTACATTAGCATTTTTGCACAGAAATATATCATTAGAAATATATCATGGAGCAAAAAAAAAAAAAAAAAAAAAAGAAGAATCCCACCTCAAGAGCAGGACAATAGGCCTTGATGTCCAGAGCTACAATGTTGTGGTGCAATGAGAGGACAAAAGTCAAGCAGGATGCCAGGAGCTCATCTTTGTACTGCTTCATTCTAACACACACCTAGCCAGAAAAAAATGTCACAAAAATACATAAAAACATACACTTTAAATTCCACAGTACAGCTCTATTTCACTTCATAGTAGCAGAAAGCATGTTTACAACATTCCTGCAAAAGCGCTGTAATGAGAAGCTACCTCTTTTCCAAACTTGGAGAAGAGTGCAAAACAAGCAGTTTTCACCGAGTCACTCTGGGGGGATGTCGAGTTTCTCAGTCCAACTCCCTGTTCAAAGGCAGATATGTATTATATTATGTATTTAATGGAAACACTTACGATGAACAAGCCTCACCAGCTACATAGAATCTTAATGATAAACAAATTTATTTGATTTATAAGACATGATGAAACACAACTTGATATTCTTGCTTCATGAGCAGCTGGCAAAATTCATTTTTCAAATATCCCAAAAATAAAAAACCTACCTGGTAGTACTTTATTCTCTTGGCAATTTTCATGGTGACAGAAAGCAGCTTGTAAAAGCCACTGACAAGAGGATTTCTTATGGAGTGGAGGATGAGCTCATGACTTAGGGGATACATCCAAGAGTGAAAATACTCCATGTGTTTATTCAGCAACAACTCACTGTGGAAGCAGGGGAAAAAAAGTTTTCACTCCAGTTGTGAAACAAAATGTGGGTGGCTGTTTCTTATATTATAATGTGATGTAAACCAGTGTCCAAGGTGGAAGACAGTGGAAACTGGGGCATAAAAAAATGCATAGATCAGCTGTACTTGGCCAAATTCACACTAGTGGGAAAAGCACATATAAAAAGAATCCCACACAGTTCCGCTCCCATGTGGAAAAAGTGGAAAGTTCTGTCTCAGTTACCTGCAGAAGTCCACCAGATTGATAAAGGCGGTGAAGTCTTTGACCTTATTGGGGAGCAGGTGAGCAGTGGGGTCGGACGAGGGCAGGATGTGGGCTGCATCATCTGGAGCCTGGTCAACACAGAGATAAGTGGCAGGTGATGAAGGTCAACCAGCAGAAACACTTTTGAAAAACTAAATGTGCTCTGTTTAAAATGATGCTAATAAAAATACCCTGTGCATCTGTCAACTCCCATGTATGGGTCAATGAAGAAAAATACATAAAAACGTAACATTAGACCCTACCTCCTCTCCTGTTGTTACTTTTTGCACTGACAAGTCCAGTTTTTCCACGATACGCAGAATCGACTTCACCAACTCGTCATACAGGAGACGGCTCAAAGACCCGAGAGCTGCATTCTGACTTTCAAACGCTCCATCCAAAAAACCTGAATCCTGCAGAGGACGGCACAAGTGAGGAAGTGAATGAAATGCGCTGCTTTCCAAATGGCTTTTCATTTATGACATTTTATAGCCACAAAGCATGTTTTTAACCATTGAGAGCACATAGAACATATGTCAGGATCAACTACACCTGAATATTAAAAACAGTGAACACATGAGGCCTTCAAAGGACGTCTGCATAATTTTAGCTACTGACTTTAAAGACTCCTTGCAGTTTAACAGCAGAACATAGACTTTTCTATAGATATGTAAATGCTGTTTCAAGATTACACAGCTAAATAATATGTAATGTGTAATATGCATTTTAACAGGCAAGTAAGAACATAAATGTACCTTCAACCGATCGCAGTCTAAAAGGTTTTTATACAGAGAAAGGTAGTCGTGACTAGCTGGAACTTTCCACTTCCCAGTGCGAACTTGGGAAGACTCAGAGGAACTGCTCGATGTGTCCTGCAAGATGATGGAGAAATGTACTTTATTAGAACAATAAGGAAATAATTCCACACCAAAAAAGCCTTCAAGTTATTACAAACTGTACACATTTGTGTAAAAAGAAAAGTCTGACCTCAGAAAGCGTGAGGGGTTTTGAGCAGACGCGGATCAAGCCTTGGTGAACTGAAAAAGAGGCAAAGATAAGTGTCCTGTCCTCCAGTGAAGCATTTAAACAGCCATGAATAAATAACAGACGTTAATAAAGGGTTAAGGGTGTTTGAAGCAGGTCCAGTGTGCTCATGATCCACTCACCCACAGAGCTAATGAAACTCCATAGAACGGGTCCTTTAGAAGCGATGGCCACCAGCACCTTAAGGATGGACCTGGTGCAAGCAATCTGCATTCTCTCGCTGTACTGAGGGAAGCTGTCGATCTGCACCACAAGGAGGCGCTCTAGCAGTGGTGTATATACCTCTGGAATCTGGGGCCATTGAAACAAACAGGAGATTACATTCCAACGTTATTTGCTGTTATTTAACTTAACGTCAAAGTAAACTGCAACAGAATATATACCTTGTCCAGGTGAATAAGAACACTGGCTATCGAGTCCAGAAAGCTGGGCAGCTGGTAGAAGCTGTCATCCTCCCCGTCGGACTCTGTCAGGTACATCTGCTTACAGCGCTGAATCAGCTCGGTGTACATCAAGTCTACGTCCTGGGGGCAAACCTTCTTGCATGGCTATAAAAAAACAAAGAAACAAAAAAGAAACACTCATTTCGAGCCACATTGTGTTGGACTCCATCAGAGTAGCTTTGCATGATTCACAGTTCAAAATAATCCATATCTATCTCACACTGGGCCTCGGTGCACACAAGTCCGCTTTAAGCATACCCTACAACCGGGAACAACTGACTATTTGAAAGCAATGTACAGATCTGTTTTAGTTTACAACAATTCATTCATATGGACAGACTTTATCTACTTGTTACTCAAATGATTTGCATTTACTACAGCTATCACAGGAGACAGACGTACCGCTGCAAAGAATCCATATCCGCGTATGGCAATCGACAGCTCTTTGTATGTCGAGTCCATGGTCTTAATGATGCTGCAGAACTTCTGCATGAAGAACTTCAGCTTGGTTTTATGCTCCTCGATATTGTCAGCCACCAACAATGCAACCTGACAAATAATCACAAAAAGCATCAAAATATTTAGACTCTTAACCTCAGCGTGCATGTGCAGAGACATGCCACTGATTTTATTTAGCGTGTATCCAAGGTTAGTCCGGCTGTGCCTTTGCAGCAATGACTTGAAGTGTTTCACCTGTTTGAGGAAGGCCTCAAGTGCATAGTAACTCGTCTTCTTCATTTCCCCATTGATGTGTCCACAGAGTTTGGACATAACTTCAAATAAAGGTTTGTAGTGGTCCATGAGGCAGCTGCTGAATTGGGAGGCATGTCTGGCGAGCAACCTGAGGCCGGCTGTTAAAGAAACAGATCAACGAAAGATTACTTTTTAAAAGTTTTATCATTAGTTTGCCAAGAAATCACAAGACTTACCAAACGTGACTGCATATCGAGTCATGTCCATCTGTATAAAAAAAGATAAAGTTTATAGAAACATAACAAAAATTTTAAATATTGGTGAAAATGCACCCTCTGAATTACCTGGGGACTGATTGACTTTAAGGTGTACTGAAAGATTTCCTTGGATGTTGCTGGGTCTGCAAATCAGGAACAATTACAAGTAATAAATAGTTCTTATGAATCTAAGCTGAAACAGGTGAACACTCACCTTCTTCCATGGTTTTAGTGAAGTTGACCATTAGGGCAGTGATTCCTCTCAGACATCCAGCAACCACTAAAAGCTTGGGTTCCTTTGTTGAAGAGGTCATCTGCAAAAAACAAAGATGAAACCAGCTGGTGCCGTCATGCTCATCAGACAGTCTTTTTTTGTTTTCTTTTAGCCTTTAGTTAATCACAACTTTTCCATCATTCTTCTGTATGAATGCTCCGTACCTGATCTTTCAGCTCTCCTAGGTAAGCCCTGTAGAGTTTGTCTGAGCTGTTGACCATCTCACTGGGATGAACTTCTGCAAGAACTCCCAGCAACTCATAGACTTTTCCGAGGACTATAAAAAAAGGTAACAAATAATAATCATAAATGAATAAATTAATCGAAACCCTTTTCATCTTTTTTACTTCCTTTTTTTTTTTTATTAAAGTGGCACTCGCCTGAATCTGGCAGTCTGCTCTTCTCACACAGCTCGCTGTAATATTTGTCAAATATTTTTGTGATTCTAAAGTTTGCAGCAACACTGGAAGCCTTTGTAGTTTGGAGAACCTAATGAGACACATTAACAAGGATGATCTTTAAGAAGAACAAAAGTAAAAGTCCAATTTTAAATCTTTTAAATTCTAAAGTCCATTAAAGAACAAACATTGCAAGATCACAGGAATTTAAAAATCTGTTTTTAATGGATCTCTTCCTCAGGTCTGAGGGCAGTTCCTGGAGTCTAACTAGAAACCAACCTTAATAAGGAGCTCCAGCACTGGGGTCCTGCATTTGGCTCCTTTGTCTTTTGTGTACACGATGATGCATGTGTCCTTAAAAGGCACAGAATTACCAAAACATTTACACATATAAAAGCAAATCTGTACTAGTAACAGTGCTGATGTAGTTATACCCGTCCTCTCACCGGTCACAGCCCTGTCTTTACCATGTAACACACAATAAAGACATGTAAAAAAATAAATAAATAATGGAAAAGAATACTTACTCTTATGTCAGTGGCGTAAGTCTTTTCCCAACCTTTGAGCGTTGGTGAGACTTTGTCCAAGAACTTCTCCAAAAAAGACAGGATTTCAATCCGAGTGTCCCGCAGCTGGAAAACAGATATATCAGCCAACAGGAGAACTTAACACTTACTTACATAGTTGTTTACTATAGTTCGAGAAACCCACCTCATCCAAAGCCAGGGACTTCTTGAGGAAGGTAAGCAACCCATAGTCTTCCGAGAACAATAAAGATGTCTGCAGTGCTGGATGCCATAAAAAAGATTTAAAAAAAAGACGGATTAAGAAATCTTAGTACTTTTTTCATCTGTGCAATTTTAAATGTTCTGCTACAGACCAACAGAGCAGGTACTGGGACAAACATGGTTGTTAAACTTTGGTAGGATGCTGACAGATGACCAGGGTTTAACATTGTTTTCTAGTAATATTAGCGATCTGTGTTGTGTACTGTTGGAACAAAAGAGTTAAAGCCCCCCCTGAGGAATAAAGAGCAATGGAGGGAATCTGTGGTTGCATCGACATCCTGCAGACTTCTGATCTGTGCTGCAAAACTACTGTTTTTTGTGCTTTTATAACATTTAAAACCGTTATTACTATTATTTATTCAACAATAAATATTTGCATTTAAGCTGTAATGCACCTTGAAACTTTCCTTATCATCAAAGAATCACGTGTGTTCTTCTTTGTTGTGTTTCGACTGAACGTTACCTCCCACCGGTTTTGGCGGAAGAGCTTGCATCAAATTGATTGATTAAAAAAAGTTATCGATGTTACTAATGAATATTGTCTGCACGACGAACACATCAGTACCATCTAAAAAAAAACCCAAAACCCTTATCTTTCAATAGATTTGACGATGATCTGCAACAGAAGCCCCAGAAAGATAAAATTGCCGTATTGTTAAGGGAGGTTGGGACGGACAGTAAAACGAGCGTTTAATGGAGTTTTTGTCTTACCGAGTTCATTCTCGGTTGCTGTTACCATGCACTCCTGTACCAGATCACCGATAATATCGTGAGATTTTAAAGCTGCCGCTCTAGTGTCTTCGTCCGAAAGTGATTCGTGAAGTTTCAGAAGCAGCCCTTGGATTCCTCCTGCAGCGCTGCTGTGGGAAGACATAGCTGGAGTGATGGCTTAAGCTAGCATTAGCAAAATAGATGTGGATTTATCTGGTAAGCCCGCAAACAGAGAACACGTGTTCTTCTAACTAGCTAAACACTGAACATTTCAGACTGTCAGCACACAGCCATTCAGTCCCAAACCCTTCGCATCAGGAAGAATCAC